TCCCTCCAATTCTTGCCTTCCCATCTCCATTGCCCATCTTAGAGCCGTAAGGCCCTATCTTCCTCCACCACTACCCCTTCTCAGAGAAAGGCCCTTCCTTCTCTTCCTCCCATCTCCTCTTGCCCCAGAGTCCTAATGGCCCTTCCTCCTTCACCGCCATCCCCATGAGCCATGAGGAGCCTTTACCACAGAGTAGATATTTAATTCTTTCAATCCTTCTGTTGCTGCTCTGATATTCAGTGCTCATGGCATGAGGGTTGGACACAGAGGTATGAGCAGCCCAGTTACTTTAATGGCCATTATCATCATGGGACAGGATGGGAGAGTGAGGTGAGAGCAGGCCATTGACAGTCTCTGGCTGAAGATTCCTGCTTCACTGGAGGCAGCTGATAGCAGCAGCCTTCCCCAAGTATTCCTGCTGCAGCAGAGCCTGATGGCATTTTACATATGGTTTGATTACTCTTGCAATGCCTAATTTAAGCCTATTTTATTTTCATTCAGACGCTACCCAGGTTGCCAGTGCATCAATTTTGGGTCCTGGTTTGTACTTTGCATCCCCATCACTATTATCATGATGTTGCTCTCCTGGGTCTGGCTCCAATGGCTTTTCCTTGGTTTCAAGTGAGTAAATGTTAAAAGATATTCTATACAGATCAAAAAGAATATCATATCTATATCTAATGCACACACTGTAGAATGGTGACCATTTATTGTCCTTTCAGTGTCAAATAGCACAAATGAGTTCTCTGGAAGTGCTGGGAATTCACACTGCCAGTCGTTGTGGCTTCTCTGAACTGTCCAACAGGACACCACAGGAAAACTTACTCAAGGATCCATTTTGTAAAATATGTTGTACATTTCTATAGAATATACACACACCATTAGTAGAGAGTATCTGAGAGAAGAATTCAGATTTTACAGTTTGTGGTCCAAATCTTGATGATATTGAAATAACTGTACTTTCCTGGCTGATTTCAATGAGGCCAGCATTTGACCCTATGTTTGAACAATGTTTATCTAACAAACTTGATGAGCGGACTGATATATTATATTTAGAGAAAAATACAATGGTTCCTGTTCACAGATATTCCTGTGTGTGTTTTTTGAGTGGGTTTGCTTCACTCCTGAGTTTTGTGCTTCAAGTTTTTGGATAGAATGACAGTTCTTTGGGCCCAATTCTCAATTGCCTTGCACTCTGGATACTTATTTACAGCTGTATGAAGTAGGTGTTCAAAAGTATGAAAAATGGAGCCAGGCTAATTTAGTGTGAAATGCTTCCCATATAGCATTTGCTTTCCACGGGTATAAATGGCTGCTTAAGGTGCAGACAGTGGAAAATTTGGCCCTCTATATTTAATGTTAAATAGAAGCATCTTAAGTTTCCTTCTCACTCCACTGATAGTTTAAACTTTAACATTTCATTTTTCTAGACCATTTTGACAGTGTTCTTATTAACACTGTGGAGTAGCTCACCGCAAAAGAGTGTGAACTGAAAGCCAAAATTGTTAATCTTGTCCCCTGTGAAAGATGCTACAGAACACCCTGATTAATGTGCTGGCTAGTTACACAGTAAAAACTTTCCCATTAGAAAAGAAGGCAATGTATTAACAGGAGAGAGTCTGATTCAGCAAAGACATAGATGACTTCCCTTAATTAGATGGATACATTGTGTGCTTAATTTGTTCCTTTGTGTAACTACTGCCCTTCCTGGGCAAACAAGCCAATTTGACTTTTCAGGCCTTTGTTCTTTCTGATAGAAATACTATGATGAATAATACTGTACAGTCATAAGGATGATTGTCTAAAACATGAACTTCCCATGTTCTGACATGAGGTGGCTCTTAGCTATAGATATTTATTGGTAGACACACCAGTACTCCAGTCTTATGTGCCTTTTGTTGTTATTAATACCATTTCTTTGATGGCAGAGCCTAGAGCCCTACTTATGCTGGGTTCTGCATAAGCATATAGCAAGACACAGTGCCTGCGTCAATCTAAATAGAATAACAAAGAGTGGGATGGGACAGAGAGAGGCAGAAGTAAAGTGACTTGCCTAAGGCCATATCTTGGCCCACATCTTCTTATATTTGGAACCAGCAGAAAAGGAAATAGACATAGGCACAGAGAGATTTGACTGAACCAGCGATCTCTGTTGTGCTGGCTCTCTTGTTCAGGCTGCAAAACTGAAACTAACATGAAAGTGACAGGTTTCAGAGGAACAGCCCTGTTAGTCTGTATTGGCAAAAAGAAAAGGAGGACTTGTGGCACCTTAGAGACTAACCAATTTATTTGAGCATGAGCTTTCGTGAGGCTTTGCACTGGGGTGGGGAGAATGCTCAAGCATTTCAAGGGACAGGACATCACATTCTTCCAACCTACTATAAAAACCTTCCAAACACACATGCATTATCATTCACATGACTAAAAATAAACACTATATTACCTGACTAAGAGTTGTGGGTGGACTACAGCAGACTCTTAAAATGCAAGGGATTATTCTGTCCTGGAATAGCAACTCACTAACTGAACAGGTTAAGTGGTTTTCTCACTCTCCTGGGACAATGTGGTGATGGTGGTGCAGCAGAGTTCTGAATAACAGGAGCAGTCGGTGGCAAGGGATCAGCTGCATCTAGTATGGAATCAGCTGGATCGGGTACCACATTTTTTTTTTCTGATGAGTCATCAAAACTAAGAGTTGCAAGAGAAGGAGGCTCAGTTAGAGGAACAAAAAGTCCAACTGGAACATCTCTGGACTCTGGTACTCATCAGGACTGAAACTGGTCCATGTTATTTCCATAAAATACTACTGGATAGTCCTACCATGAACAAAACAGGTCCTGTGCATTTTACAAGTTCTCCAACTGTAATTGCAATTCTACACTAAGGGTAAGTCTACACTATACAATTAGGTCGAATTTATAGAAGTCGATTTTTTAGCAAGCGATTTTATACAGTCAATTGTGTGTGTCCCCGCTAAGCGCGTTAAGTTGGCCGAGTGCTTCCACAGTACCGTGGCTAGCGTCGACTCACGGAGCGGTGCACTATGGGTAGCTATCCCACACTTCCCGCAGTCTCCGCCGCCCATTGAAATTCTGGGTTGACCTCCCAATGCCTGATGGGGCAAAAACGTTGTCGTGCGTGGTTTTGGGTACATGTCGTCAGTTGCCCCTCCCTCCGTGAAAGCAACAGCAGACAATCGTTTTGCGCCTTTTTTCCGTGCGGGCACCATACTGCTTTCAGCAGACGGTGCAGTAGGACTGCTAACCATCATTGAATGACTGCTTTTGCTGCCACTCTGCTCTCCTGATGCTATGAATCCACCTCGCAGCTCCTCTATATGACCGTCGTCATCCACCACTTCCACTGCCACTCTGCTCTCCTGGTGGTCTCGCAGGGCCGCTTCCGCTGCCTCTCTGCTCAGCTGCTCCTGTCTTGCCATAACACAGCAAACATGCAGCCCACTCGTCTGTTGTGGCCTGGCAGCAGACGGTGCAGTAGGTCTGCAAAACTGGTCATCCAACCACCGCTTCCCCTGCAACTCTGCTCTCCTGCAGATGCCATACCACGGCAAGCCTGGAGCCCACTCAGATCACCATGGCAGTTATGAGCATTGTGAACACCTCACGCATTATCATGCAGGATATGCAGAACCAGAACCTGCAAAAGCAGGTGAGGAGGTGATGGCAGCACGGTGACGAGAGTGATGAGGACATGCACACAGACTTCTCTCAAAGCACGGGCCCCAGCAATTTGGCCATCCTGGTGGCAATGGGTCAGGCTCATGCCATGGAACGCTGATTCTGGGCCCGGGAAACAAGCACAGACTGGTGGGACTGCATAATCTTGCAGGTATGGGATGATTCCCAGTGGCTGCAAAACTTTTGCATGCGTAAGGGCACTTTCATGGAACTTTGACTTGCTTTCCCCTGCCCTGAAGTGCAAGAATACCAAGATGAGAGCAGCCCTCACAGTTCACAAGTGAGTGGTGATAGCCCTCTGGAAGCTTGCAACGCCAGACAGCTCCCGTCAGTTGGGAATCAATTTGGAGTGGGCGAATCTACTGTGGGGGCTGCTGTGATCCAAGTAGCCAACGCAATCACTGAGCTGCTGCTATCAACGGTAGTGACTCTGGGAAATGTGCAGGTCATAGTGGATGGCTTTGCTGCAATGGGATTCCCAAACTGTGGTGGGGCAATAGATGGAACGCATATCCTTATCTTGGGACTGGGCCACCAAGGCAGCCAGTACATAAACCTCAAGGGGTACTTTTCAATGGTGCTGCAAGCACTGGTGAATCACAAGCGACGTTTCACCAGCATCAACGTGGGATGGCCGGGAAAGGTACATGACGCTCGCATCTTCAGGAACTCTGGGCTGTATGAACAGCTGCATCAAGGGACTTACTTTCCAGACCAGAAAATAACATTGGGGATGTTGAAATGCCGATAGTTATCCTTGGGGACGCAGCCTACCCTTTAGTGCCATGGCTCATGAAGCCGTACACAGGCACCCTGGACAGTAGTCAGGAGCTGTTCAACTACAGGCTGAGCAAGTGCAGAATGTGCATTTGGACATTTAAAAGAGCACTGGCGCAGTTTACTGACTCGGTTAGACCTCAGCAAAACTAATATTCCCACTGTTATTACTGCTTGCTGTGCGCTCCACAATATCTGTGAGAGTAAGGGGGAGACGTTTATGGCAGGGTGGGAGGTTGAGGCAAATTGCCTGGCCACTGATTACATGCAGCCAGACACCAGGGCGGTTAGAAGAGCACCTGGGCACCCTGCGCATCAGAGAAGCTTTAAAAACCAGTTTCATGGCTGACCAGGCTACAGTGTGACAGTTCTGTTTGTTTCTCCTTGATGAAAACCCACCCCCTTGGTTCACTCTGCTTCCCTGTAAGCCAACCGCACTCCCCTCCCCCCTTCGATCACTGCTTGCAGAGGCAATAAATTCATTGTTGTTTCAAATTCATGCATTCTTTATTAATTAGTCACACAAATAGGGGGATAACTACCAAGGTAGCCCGGGATGGGTGGGGGAGGAGGGAAGGACAAGGCTGCACTGCACTTCAAAACTTATTGAATGCCATCCTTCTGTTGCTTGTGCAGTCCTCTGGGGTGGAGTGGTTGGGTACCCAGAGGGAGCCCCCTCCCCCCCCCCCGTTTTTGGGCATCTGGGTGAGGAGGCTATGGAACTTGGGGAGGAGGGCGGTTGGTTACACAGGGGCTGCAGTGGCAGTCTGTGCCTTTCCTGCACCTCAACCATACGCCAGAGCATATCAGTTTGAATCTCCAGTAGCTTCAGCATTGCATCCTGCCTCCTTTCATCATGTTGCCGCCACCTTTCCTCTTGATCCCGCCACCTCTCCTGTTGCTCCCACCACTTGTCCTCTCATGCATCCCTCCTGTCCTCGTGTTCATTTTGTGCTTTCCTGGACTCTGCCGTTGTCTGCCACCATGCACTGTGATGGGCTCTTTCAGTTTGGGTGGACTGCATGAGCTCAGAGAACATTTCATCGCAAGTGCGGTTTTTTTGCTTTCTTATCTGTGCTAGCCTCTGGGATGGAGATGCTAGTCACAGTGTTGAAACATTTGCAGCTGCAGGAGGAAAAAAAGGGAGATTAAAATTGAAAAAGACACATTGGCCATTTAAAAGGAGAGGCTGATGTTTTTGGGTTAACGTGCAGCATAAACCCAACTAAACTCCCACACACACCCAATTCTCTGGGATGATCGCTTCACCCCTCCCCCCACCACATGGCTAACAGCAGGGATGACTTCTTTTCAGCCACAGGCAAACAGCCCAGCAGGAACAGCTACCTCTGAATGTCCCCTTAATAAAATTCCCCTATTTCAACCAGGTGACCATGAATGATATCACTTTCCTGAGGATAACACGGAGAGATAAAGAACGGATGTTGCTTGAATGACAGCAAACACTGGGACCACACGCTGCCATGCTTTGTTATGCAATGATTCCAGAATACATGCTACTGGCCTGCTGTGGTAAAGTGTCCTACCATGGAGGACGCAATGAGGCTGCCCTCCCCAGAAACCTTTTGCAAAGGCTTTGGGAGTACCTCCAGGACAGCTTCATTGAGATGTCCCTGGAGGATTTCCGCTCCATCCCCAGACACGTTAACAGACTTTTCCAGTCCTGTACTGGCCGCGAACGCATCCCAATTCTTCAGGGCAAATTAATCACTAAACACGCTTGCTTTTAAACCGTATATTATATTTACAAAGGTACACTCACCAGAGGTGCCTTCTCCACCTTCAAGGTCCAGGAGCCCAGGTTGGGAGGGTACTGTCTCCAGGGTGATAAACAGTTCCTGGCTGTCGGGGAGAATGGTTTCTCCACTTGCCTGGTGTGCGCTATCTTCAACCTCCCCCTCCTCATCATCTTACTCATCCCCAAAATCCTCATCTCTTTTGCATGAGACTCCTTTGCAGGAGTTCACATACAAGTGTGGGGTAGTTGTAAGGGCACCCCCAGGAATTACATGCAGCTCATCATAGAAGCAGCATGTCTGGGGCTCTGACCCTGAGCGGGCATTTGCCTCTTGGGTTTTTTGGTAGGCTTGCCTGAGCTCCTTAAGTTTCACATGGCACTGCTGCTGCTCCCCGTTATGGCCTCTGTCCTTCATGCCCTTGGAGATTTTTTCAAATATTTTGGCATTTTGTCTTTGGAATGGAGTTCTGATAGCACAGATTCATCTCCCCATACAGCGATCAGATCCAGTACCTCTCGTTCGGGCCATGCTGGAGCTCTTTTGCGATTCTGGGACTCCATGGTCACCTCTGCTGATGAGATCTGCATGGTCACCTGTGCTGATCAGCTTGCCATGCTGGCCAAACAGGAAATGAAATTCAAAAGTTCGCAGGGCTTTTCCTGTCTACATGGCCAGTGCATCCGAGTTGTGAGTGCTGTCAAGAGTGGTCACAATGGAGCACTGTGGGATAGCTCCTGGAGGTCAATACCATCGAATTGCATCCACACTAACCCAAATTCGACCCAGCGATGTCGATTTCAGCGGTAATCCCGTCGTCGGGGAGGAGTACAGAAATCGATTTTAAGAGCCCATTAAGTTGACAAAAATGGCTTCATTGTGTGGACGGGTGCAGGGTTAAATTGATCTAACACTGCTAAATTCGACCTAAACTTGTAGTGTAGTCCAGGGCTAAGTCTCCAACTTGAAAACAGTGGTGACGAGTCTCATATGATTGATCAATTTGCATAGCTTGGAATTTGGCTACACATGAAGCAATTTCAGGACGTAGCAGGTTCCAACAGGTACACAAATATTGCTTCAAGAAAAGAATATGCAGGTGATTCCTGGGTAGTAGCATGTGGAGGGTTCCTGGAGAGAAGCTAGAAATTGTCCAATTTCTGCTGATGACTCAAAATAGATTTGTTAGTTTTTAAGGCATTCTTAAGTATTTACCTAAAGCATTCTGCTAGTCGATTTGTAGCAGGATAGTATGGTGCAGAGCATATGTGCTGAATTTTAATTGAAGCTAGGAACCTGTGAAATTCTTCAGAACAGAACTGAGGTCCAATGTAACTCACCAACTGTACCAGTAAACTAAACTTGCTAAACAAACTACAGATATGTCCAATGGTCTTAGTGACTGTTGTAGAAGTCATTCTGAAAACTTCTGGCCATTTTGAACATGGAATCTTCTAAAGGTCCAGCAAAGTCCACATGAATATATATTCAAGAAGTCTGAGGCCACGACCAAGGCTGTAGATGAGATAGGTCAGGATCATGCTGAATTTGCTTACACATAGTACAGCACTTTACATTCCTCTCAATAGCTTTGTCAGTCCCCAGCCACCAGATATGACTCCAGACTATGGTCTTCATCCATACAATGCCAAAATCACCTTCATTAAGAGCTTCCAAAACCTGACCCTGAAGTGATTTTGGAACATTCACTCACATTCTCCATAAAATGCAACTATGATTCACAGATAATTCATATTGACGTGATACGAATTGTGTAAACTGGGGATTATTTTGATCCAATGCCATACCCTGTAGTACCATTCCCTTCATAAGCAAAAACACATTATCCTTAGCAGTTTCTTTGTGGATGTCTGTGCTAGTGATGAGTAACCTATCCTTCAAATTTGAGATAGAATACTTCATCTGAGGATACTGGTCTGCATGTAAAACTGGATTCAGCATCGCTTTGAGATCTCCACAAATTTGGACTGAGCCTTCCTTCTTGAACACTGGTACAATAGATGTAGCCCACGCACTGTGCGAAACCAATAACAAGACTCCAATGTTCACTAAACAGTCCAAATCAGCTTCTACTAGAGGCTTCAGAGCATAAGACATAACTCTGGGGTTGCAATATTATGGTTGGCTGTCAGACTTAACAGTGAGCTTCACTGACATGTTGCTTTGTCCAAAGATTTTGAAACAGAGCTTGAAGTGTCTGTCCAGTATTTCTTGAAGATTTTGAAGTGCTTTGGTGATCGCCTTGATATCAGTTCAATTCACTTTGAGCATCTCAAGCCAAGATCTGCTAAATAATGGTGGATACTTTTGTTCAGTCACATACAAGGGTAAAACAACTGATAGTCCATATAGTTGAACTTTTACCTGGAGTATCCCTTTTAGGACTAACATTTCAAAACCATGGATGTTTCTTCTTGTGGAACTTGTGACAAAGTCTGGTGATAGGTGGATGCAGAAATCAATGAGACAGCAGCTCCCCGTATTAAGCTGAATTCTTGTAGGAACTCCTTCTATCAAGGGTGTGACCCAGATCCCATCTTTGACTCCATCTTCTGATAACACATGCAGTGCTAGGCCTTGATCAGTGTCACTACAGCTCTTGTCTTTTTCTACATTATGAATTCCCAACTACCATCCTTTCTTAGGTTCAGTTGTCACAGGTGTCTTTTATGTATGTTTACTCTGCTACTAGTTGTTGAACTGTGCGACAGATCATGTTGATGTGTCCCTCCTTCTGCAAGTGACTTGGTGTGCCCAGCAGTCCTTTTCAGCAAGCACAGTTTGTGCAAACTGCCACATGGAAATTCCTTATGTTTCTGTGGTCCTCTGTCTTGCTGATTCACGAGATGAACTTTTCAGTGCAGGCTAAATTGCAGAGTGAAGGAACAGAATATGGACACCGTGTAGAATCAAGCACGTGGGTTTATTATGCACAGCACTGGTGGAGTGTCACCTTGCTTATTAGGCTCAGAGACACTGCCAAACAATTGATTACAATACATTCTATGGATTTTCCATGGGCGGAGGGAAATGACAGGGTAGGCAGTCCCAGACCCCTGGATAGGTCCAACAGCAAGACAAGATAAGCACAGTAGCCAATAGTCAAAGATTACATAATGTTTTCGCCCATGGTTTCAGGTTAACACATGACACTTAATTAGTACACAGGTAAAGCAAAAGGACAAATGAAAAGTATATAGCAATAAAGATTGTCTTGTAGTTGTTCATTTGTGTTTCTAAGGCAGGCACTGGCAATGGCTTGGAGGAGAGGTGCACATCTGTGAGAGGGAGGATATCATATCTCATACTGACATGTCTGAACCTCTTCCATAAACTCAAGGCTGGTGTGTAGGAAGGCACCACTTCTACAGAAGAAACAGGGCCCCTTTCTTTCCTTTGGTCTGTTTGCAACTTTGAGATAAAGCCCCCAATTATAATTTCCACCTGGCTTCTTGCTGACCAAGCTTATCTTAGCAAAAAGCAAGCTTGTCCTTTGTTTGTTCTGCTTCTAAGCTAATATTGTTCACTATTTGCTAGACCTCTGTCTTCTTGAGCAAACTCTGGATTTTGCGCCTGTATGGGCCATCACCTGAGATGGCACTGACCATAATCATCGCTTTAACCTCCACTGCCTGGTTTCATGCCTTCGAGTACTTCACATCGGTCTGATCCACGGTTTCCTCTATCAGGTTGTATCTCAGACAGCCTTCCTCAATATGCCTCTGGGTCTCAGCCACCAACTCCTTGATCTTCGCCTGCAGGGCCTGTAGACCTTCCTCTAGATATTTACTGCCATAGTGCCATTCCGGATCCCATGTTAGGTTACCCATCGTTGGCAGAGTACTGTGGAGCCGTGTCCCATCAACGGTCAGGGTCGCCCTTCGGGGTACTGTCATGCACACCGATGGATGTCTCGAGGGGCAGGGCTTTCCATTTAGCTTGATGGAGTGGTTCTGGGCAGTCACACACCAATAGGTACTGTTCATTTGGACCAGCTCCGTGTGCGCCAGTTTCTCAGTGATGGCCACTTCGAACCTAGACAGATTCGTTAGAATATTATATGGGCTTGTACACAGAATTTCCTTATCAGAGTGGGTGCAACATTCACTAGGCTACAATACTCTCCCAGTGACCTCGGAGTATGCAACGCCTTCTATCTTAATAACATGACCCCTCCTCCATTCTGGCAAGGAGGTCACCATCCTGGCTCGCTGGAAATTAGGGATGCCCAGAGGTACCAGAAGGTTAAAGAGTATACTGTGACCTGTCCAAACTGGTCTTTGGACTCTCATTGATTCTCTGTTTCCCCATGCCCACGGAGGGGTACTGGGGAGATAGGGTCCCACCACTTCCATAAGGGCTGGGTGGATCCAGCCATCAAGGAGATCGTGTGGTGATGGCCAAAGTTTGTCCTGCTCTCCAACAACTCTCTTCCAGTGCCTTTATTTTGGTACCATTTATCAGCAGGGTGGTGACTTCTTTACCCAGGTATTTTGTTATATCTAATGAGGTGGACAGAGGTTGACAGATACAGAGGTTGACAGATCCTTTAAACTGTCTAGGATCAATCGACTGGCCTTATTAGTATCCAGTCCTCCCCAGGCATTAGAGATTACAGCATCTGCCAGCCTTGACTCAAGTTGATCCCTCTTCTCAGCTTGGCGTGCTATGTTATAGGTGTTGCCAACAGAATTAGCTGCACCAACACATCCTGCAATGGTATCTAGTAACCCCCTTTTCTGTCTAGTTAAGCGCTCACCAATTTGGTTTGTTAGGCTAGTAATATTTCTACTCATTCGAGGCCTGACCTTTGCACACTGTCTGTTCGCTTCCTCTAATGGAATATGCCCCTCGACCCTGTAGGTGTGGAATACTACCGAGGTGAGGACCGGTAGTGTTGGTCCTATCATTACCAATCCTGGTTCTAGAACAGGGATTTGTTCAGGGCATGACACACAGTCAGGTGGTTCCACTCTGTATCTGATAACTTGGTTGTTACCAGTCATGGACATTCTAATTTGGGCCATTGTTTAACGACGTTTGCCATGCCTTTGGGGTTACCTCGGTCCATGCTTTAAGTGGTAAGCCCTATCCTGAATCAGCAGGCCCAACCTTCACAGGTACCATGTCAGTATAATTGGCACATGATCTTTCATGAGTGTTTGGTTTCTTTCGCACAAAATCCCACACAAATTCCAGTACCGAGGTCTATGTGTTTCCTCCCAAGCCATCGTGGCAATATGCTATGTAATTGTGTTCAAATGAGGGATAGCCCAGGACTTTGAGTCCCCTTCACTAGTAGTATGCAGCTGTCCCCCTTTAAAGGTAATCCGGACACTGGTTGCATTAAGTATAGACACTGTCCCTCTAAGAGGGCCACAGCATCATCTAAGGCTGTCACCCTGCTCAAAGGGGTAGCTCATGCACTTCCATGATTCCTTCCAAATGCCTCCATAAAACTCCATAATCTCTGGCACCTGCCACCAGCGAATAACTGGGCAGTCAGCTGTTATTAAAATTGTGATGTTACTAGTCTTCCTATTGTTATGAGCATCAGTGTATGATTTTATTTGGACCTTTTTACGTTCCACTGTGTGCTCATGTCCTAACCATAGTGCCACCTTTACCTCTGGCCAGAGCTGTTTATTGACCACTGCACGTGTTTTGCAAAAGCTAAGTGTTTCCTTAGCGTGGCAGTTGAAGCGAAGCAAACTCGGAGGACTGGGGTTAGTGACCCACTCCCAGTCCTCCTTTTCACATGGCACACTATTTGCGTCCTTCCTCATGCACCACAGGGACAGCAGGAGCCACAGCAGGAGCCTCCCCATGGTCACTCTGGTTGCCCTGGTCACCCTTCAGTCCTTCCTCTTCCACTTCCTCTTGTTCACCTGTGGAGACACCTGTGGAAACATCGTTAATATTGACAGTTGCTGTTTGAAACAATTTTAACTGATTTTGGTGCCTCCAAAAAGTTCCCAATTTGTCCCTAACCTTTGCATGTGTATTAGTAGTCAGAAGGACCCTCATAGGGCCTTGCCACCTTGGCTTTAAAATTCCTTTAACTTCTGAGTAAATACAGCACCTTACCAAATCCCCAACTTCAAATGCAGGTTTGTCCAAACTGCTGTTAACATCCAGCTGGGTTTGATTTTCTTTCACTTGGTTGTATAAATCCTTTAACTCTCTTTCCAGTGCCCTGATGTAATTCTACAGCCTGTCTGCAAAAAGCCCCAACCCCTCCCGCAGGGAGGATCACATTACTAGGCATTCTCATTGCTCTTCCTGTCATTAGTTCAAAGGGTGTCAGCTGAGTCAGCCTGTTTGGGCTTCCTCTGAGCCGATACAATTCAGCAGGGAGCATACAAGCCCACCCGTTCCCTGTGTCCAGTACTGCTTTTGTTAAGGCTGCTTTTATTGTTCTATTCATTCTTTCCTCCATTCCTGAGCTTTCAGGGTGGTATGGTATATGGAATCCTTGCTTTATTTCTAGTGCCTTACATGCCTCTTTCATTACTCGCCCTGTAAAGTGAGTTCCTTGGTCAGATTCTATTGACAATGGCAGACCCCATCTGGGTGTTATTTTTTCTGCTAGGATCTGAGCCACTGTTGTGGCAGTACAGTTCTTAGTGGGGAATGCCTCTACCCATTGGGTAAAAGTGTCAATAATTACCAAGATATAAGTGAACCCCCTGCTTTGTGGCAAGGGTCCAGTAAAATCAATTTGCAGATTCTGCCATGGTCCCTCTGGCCGTGGCTGGTGATTCAGGGGTACTTTTTTCCTTCTCCCCACATTAACTTGTGTGCATCACACATCTTTTGAGAAATTGTTCCAGGGCAGCCCTCATTTGTCTCCACCCCAGATGAGCTGGAGAGTGGATGGCACGGAGCAGCAGAGCCCATATGCACTCTGGGGCTACCATCTTCCCCCTGCCCCCCCCCCCCCTCGGCCCATATCAGAGGTTATTTTTATACACAAAGCCTTGTTCTTCCAATTTACTTTTCTCTTCTGGGCTTACGGTTGCATATAGTTTTTTTTAAATTCACCTCTTCCTCTGGTACTGTAGCTGCACAGACCTTAATAGGACTTGCATGTGCAACTTCTTTAGCACATTTATCTGCCCAGTAATTTCCTTTTTGTTCCTCACTTGAGATTTTATGTGCTTTTATCTTTACTACTGCCAGTTCTGATGGTAGTTTGACAGCTTCTGCTAGTCTTTGAACTGCCTCCATATTATTGATGGGCTTGCAGGTTGTTGTTATAAAACCTCTTCGTGACCACTCATCCATGTAATCATGCACTCCTCCGAATGCATATCTGCTGTCTGTATACACAGTGAGCCTCTTGCCCTCCCCCACTCTCAGAGCTTCAGCGAGAGCTGTCAGCTCTGCCTCTTGTGCTGACTTGGATCTATCCAGCTGTCCTGACGCTGTCACTGTTCCGTCACCAAGCTCCACTGCCCATCCGGTGTGTGGCACTCCATTTTCATACTTTCTTGATCCATCTACATACAAAACTATATCTGGATTCTCTAATGGTCCTTCCTTAACTTTTCCCAAAACTTCCTCTGCCCTATCTATGAGACACTCGTGGAGGGATAGCTCAATGGTTTGAGTATTGGCCTGCTAAACGCAGGGTTGTGAGTTCAGTCCTTGAGGGGGCCATTTAGGGATCTGGGGCAGAAATTGGGGATTGGTCCTGCTTTGAGCAGGGGGTTGGACTAGATGACCTCCTGAGGTCCCTTCCAAGCCAGGTTTCAGAGTAACAGCCGTGTTAGTCTGTATTCGCAAAAAGAAAAGGAGTACTTGTGGCACCTTAGAGACTAACCAATTTATTTGAGCATGAGCTTTCGTGAGCTACAGCTCACTTCATCGGATGCATACCGTGGAAACTGCAGCAGACTTTATATACACACAGAGAATATGAAACAATACCTCCTCCCACCCCACTGTCCTGCTGGTAATAGCTTATCTAAAGTGATCATCAGGTTGGGCCATTTCCAGCACAAATCCAGGTTTTCTCACCCTCCACCCCCGCACACAAATTCACTCTCCTGCTGGTGATAGCCCATCCAAAGTGACAACTCTTTACACAATGTGCATGATAATCAAGTTGGGCCATTTCCTGCACAAATCCAGGTTCTCTCACCCCCTCACCTGCCTCCCAAAAACCACACACACAAACTCACTATCCTGCTGGTAATAGCTCATCCAAACTGACCACTCTCCCTACAATGTGCATGATAATCAAGGTGGGCCATTTCCAGCACAAATCCAGGGTTTAACAAGAACGTCGGGGGGGGGGGTAGGAAAAAACAAATTCTATTTCTACTGGCTGTCTTAGGGTTGCTTTTAATCTTCCCCCTCCCGCCACTTCAATCCATATGGTTCCAAGGTGAAGGGGAGATCTTGGCTGGTTATCAATACCGAGGCTCCTGTGTCTATTAACATACTGCATGGTTGGCCCCCCCACTGGGGTCGCCTTCAGTTCCAGCCCCAGAGGCCACTGATACCTATTTGCTAACCAGGAATTTGAGCAACTCCTGCATATGTTTATCCTTTTCCTGTTCTTGGGTGCTAGTTGTATCAGTTTTATTCTGCTTGTTCAGCCACTGACTTTTCTTACCCGGGGGGGAGGGGTGGAAGCAGCTTTCTTTTAGGTGGCCGCTCCTTTTACAATTACTGCATGTTTTGATTTTTTTATCTTTACGGTCACGTGCCAAATGTCCAGGCTTATTGCAAGTGAAGCAGATGGTGGTTCTGACTGCACGAACTGTTGCAACTTCCTCAGAGGGGATGGTTGTTGCAACCTTTCTTTTTTTCCTGTTATCTACTTCTGTGGCCCATTTCATTACTGCTGAGTATGTCTCTGCCACTGAGATGCCTAATGCCAGGACTGCTTGTTGGTCTGCAGACAGCCCTTCCTTTAGAATTTAGCATCATGGTCTCGGGATGTTATATTCTCAAGACCTGAAAAAGCTCGAAATGCATTTCATTTCTTTTCAGCATAGGACATGGCAGACTCCCCTTTCTGCTGAACCACTGATTGCAGCCCCCCAGTTACTGGCCTGGGCTCCTAGAGCAGCAGATAGTGCATTCCTGAAGTCTGTTACAGTACCTGCCTCTGGGTTTGGAAGTCCCGCTGGTTCTCCAGTCCAATCCCCTCCCGCAGGCTTGGGGCTATGATCTTCAGCCCAGTGCCCCGTCTCCCATTTATCGTCTAAGTTGTCCCACACATCCCTGGGGCATTTGACTTGACCAGGATGTGAACATCCTTCCTATGGAGGCCGTGTATTTCAGTAAGGCCATCCAGCTTGTCCCAGAACTCAGTGTTTTTGTTATCGCTTTTGAGTTTGGGTAAATCAGACAACAGTGCCTGTTTTTCCTGGGGGGGGGTGGGGTGAAGGGATGGTAGATTTCAGTGGTTTCTGTCCTGAGTCCCCTTACTTGTTCACCCTCCACCTTAACATTTCTGAACCTTCTTAGCTGTGTTTTGATTCGAGCCATACACTGTACTTGCTGGGGCAATTAATCCTTGTGGTGCCCCTTCATTAGCTCTCTGGGGGCTTAAATTTGGCCTTTCACATGAAATAATGTATGGAGGGGGGTTCTGTTCCTCCCCTTTGTCTTGTGCTGCTGAGTTTTCCCACAGATAGTTAATCAGTGGCGCCATTGTTGGGGTTGGCTGACAAATGCCGGGAGTGGGCTCTCCCCCTTCTGCTCTGGGCGTGTGTCCCAGGCATGGTGAATGTAGTTCTTTTGTTCTGGGATCTTTCCAATTTCCTGCCAATTACATGGTTTAAAGCACAAACTCTTATCCTTCACAACCTGATTCTCAGATTTTAAAGTTGCAATTTCTCTTTCTTTTAGGTTGAGTATATCCAATATCACTATTACTGCCTTGTCTGTTTTGTTACTTTTCTGATTATTCCACCAAGTAACCAGATCTGCCTTTGGTCCGGCAGTGGAATAGTTTGTTTTTTTAGCTGCTGTTTGTCGGGTTTTGACATGTTTACACTCCAAATATTCTCAAGGGCTGATTATCGCCTCTCCTTTTGATGCCATGGGCTTTTACTCACCCTGGCTGCTGACCTTGTTTGGAATGTACATCTTCCCTCTTATTTCTGTGGTCTCAATCTCCACAAATGTCAGCCTTAATGGGGATTTACGTTTCCCCTTTTGAATACTGTGGTCTAAATCTCCACACTGACAGCTTTGATGGGGATGTACCTTGCCGGCCTCATTGGAGACTTGTGCTATTCGAAGGCATGTACATCACATGCCGAGGGTTGGGGGAGGCACTCCCCTAGGGGCTTGCAATGTTATGTGCAATGAGGAAATGGGACCACCAGTTTGTACTGCCTACCGCTCGCGTACCCAGCCAGTCCTGGGCTTAACTCATAGCCAATCGCTTGCTGGTGGTTTGTCCAAGTCCTCTGTAACACACCCCTTAATTTAAACAGTACATAACCCTCTTGCACATGTCTCCCCTCCCAACTGGTACCTTTATTAATCCCTCTGTTTATACTACCCGTGTCTAGGTTCCTTTGCACTTAAATTTAAAAAGTGAGAACAAGATGTGTCTGAAAGGGGATAAGAGACTTCTATCCCTGGCCTAATGAAGTGGTAAATTAAACATACTCACCTCGTTTGGGATTTCAGTCTCAGTTCCTCAATCAGTTCACAAGCTTGCATCCCGGATGAGCCCCCATCTGAAGGAACAGAATATGGACACCGTGTAGAATCAAGTATGTGGGTTTATTATGCACAGTGCTGGCGGAGTGTCACCTTGCTTATTAGGCTCAGAGACACTGCCAAACAATTGATTACAATACATTCTATGGATTTTCCATGGGCGGAGGGAAATGACAGGGTAGGCAGTCCCAGACCCCTGGATAGGTCCAACAGCAAGACAAGATAAGCACAGTAGCCAATAGTCAAAGATTACATAATGTTTTCGCCCATGGTTTCAGGTTAACACATGACACTTAATTAGTACAGAGGTGTTTTCCTTTAAACAATATATAGAGTGTGTTAGTATAAAATATATATGTTGAATTCTGATTTGGGATCCATAGGAATGAAGTAGCTCCCCTGATTGTCCGACAGGTACACACCTAGGAGTTAAAGCAAAAGGACAAATGAAAAGTATATAGCAATAAAGATTGTCTTGTAGTTGTTCATTTGTGTTTCTAAGGCAGGCACTGGCAATGGCTTGGAGGAGAGGTGCACATCTGTGAGAGGGAGGATATCATATCTCATACTGACATGTCTGAACCTCTTCCATAAACTCAAGGCTGGTGTGTAGGAAGGCACCACTTCTACAGAAGAAACAGGGCCCCTTTCTTTCCTTTGGTCTGTTTGCAACTTTGAGATAAAGCCCCCAATTATAATTTCCACCTGGCTTCTTGCTGACCAAGCTTATCTTAGCAAAAAGCAAGGTTGTCCTTTGTTTGTTCTGCTTCTTAGCTAATATTGTTCACTATTTGCTAGGCCTCCGTCTTCTTGACCAAGCTCTGGATTTGGGGCCTGTAAAAAGAGCTGACACAGTCTATATAGCAGGTTGTAACATAAACAGCATATGGATTTTATCCCTTCACAGAGAATCCCATCTCTGTGGTTTCCATTGCAACTGCTACATCAACAGCCTTTCTGAATGTAACCTCTGTTACAGCCAGTAACTTCATTCTAATGTGGTCATTGTGTAATCCAGAGACTAACTGGTCATGCAGGGCATCACTTAATGTTTCTCCAAACTGACAATGCTCTGACAACTTCCTGAGAGCGGCAACAAACTGTGCTACTGACTGTCCACTTCCCTGATGTCACTGATGAAACTACTATCATTCAGCTATCATCAATGGGATAGAAGAAAAATATTCCTGCATTGCTGCAGTAATTGCAGCATACGTGGCAGTTCTGGGCATAGTTGGAGACACAGCAGTCCATATGGCATCACTGTCAGTAAGGCTGAAATTCTTTGTCCATCTGGAATGGTGTTGCAGGTTACAAATTGCTCAGAATGTTTGAGGTACATCACCCATTATTCACCAATATTGCCCATAAAAGCTGCCTTTTTACTGCTCTCCTGTAGAACTTCGCACCTCCTGGACTTCTCTTCCACGAGGAAATTCTTTCTTTACCTTTTCCCCCCGCCCCCAATCGTACACTATCTTCTCTGGATCACCCTCTGCTGGCTGTGTTCTTATACTGCAAAATTCAAAATTCTTCCTTTGGCTGCATTTGGGCTCCCTCTGCTGATTATAGACGCTGTAGTGCAGGCTAAAGGCTGTTTGCCTGCCTGCTTGCACCTGGTCAACAAAGATGGCTGCTTGCTTCTACTTCACTGTCTTGTTTGAACAGCTCCTTTGTTCTGCTTCTAATTGCCTACTTCCCCCTCTGTAGCTAACTAGTTCCCAGGAACAAAAGTCTGTTACCCTGTGCCTCTAGGTGAACTTTGTTCCCCTTTCACAGTATTATCTGCTCACTCTTTCTCTTTGTTGTTCAGGTAATGGGAGCACTGGACGCTCATGGGATATAAATCCTGTGTGGCCAATGTTATATTTCTGGACCCAGCAGAGAAGGAGAGAGTCACAGACACAGAGGGAACTGATAGAAAGACAGCTGTTTGCTGTGCTCGCAAAACTGAAACTAACACAAAAGTGAGGTTTTCCACTGCAGAGAGCAGAGTGCTCAAACATTTAAAGGGACAGTACATTACAGGAATAGTTCCCAGGGCTCTTCATTTCCCAGTCCAGTGCCTTAGCCACTAGACCACGATGCATCCTTATAGAACCTAGTGATGTAGGTTGCCTCCTCTCCCTTAATGACAAGCCTGAGTGTTGGGGTATATTTTGCTGCTGCTTCTGCCAAGCTCCCATGCATTTGTGTAGACTCCAATCTGCTCAGGTTACTCCAAATCAGTATTGTAAAGTTCAGACTATGCACAATGAAATAGGAGATAATGAGCACTGGCTGGTAGAACTGAAATCTTAGCCTAGTAAATTGGTACAATTAGCTGGAAAGGTTGGGATCTGTGACTATCCTGTAAGAATAACACTCCATTATTGTTGACTTACATTCCAGTTTCAAAGAAATGTTCCGATGTGGCAAGGAAAAAACAGCCAGAGAACAGGCCTCAGCACAGGTGATTAAAGAGGAGTATACAAAGCTTGGGCCAATAAGGTAACAGAGACGGCAAAACACCAGGCCATTTCAAAACAAGCACAGATTTAAATTTAAGGAAATCCAGACACTAACAAATTGTGCTTTTGCTGCAGCTACCCAGAAATCACTACCCTTGTCCTGTTCATTTTAATGGCCCTCTTGTGGTTTACCAGAGAACCTGGATTCATCCCTGGATGGTTTTCTCTTTTTCCTCGGTAAGTAAAACAGCTGAAATACCAACAATGACTGTACTGTATTTAATTAAGAGTATGTCTTCACCACCCGCCGGATCGGTGGGCAGCGATCGATCCAGCGGGGATCGATTTATCGCGTCTAGTCTAGATGCGATAAATCGACCCCCCGAGCGCTCTCCCGTCAACTCCTGTACTCCAGCGCAGGCGGAGTCGACGGGGGAGTAACAGCAGTCGACTCACGGCGGCGAAGACACCACGGTAAGTCAATCTAAGTACGTCGACATCAGCTACGTTATTCATGTAGCTGAAGTTGCGTAACTCAGATCAATCCCCCTCCCCCCGCAATGTAGACCAGGGCTAAGTGTTTGCATTTTCTTCCAGATTTAAAGTGAACTTTAGTAGTTGGAAGAGCCGTAGACTGACAGCAGTGGAAATCTGTGTTTATCTACAAAATGGGTACAGCACAGGCACCAATATTATTTCTTTATACCGTATTGAAAATGTAAAAAGAAAAGGAGTACTTGTGGCACCTTAGAGACTAACCAATTTATTTGAGCATGAGCTTTCGTGAGCTACAGCTCACTTCATCGGATGACAACTAGTACTAAAATGGACTAATTTTACAGAACAAATTCAAGGACATGGTGGACATTTGAGGCGCTTCAGTCTACTTTCAGATATGCCCAGTGAGTGAGACTGACTAAGGGGATGGGGATTTTGTAGTTATCTGAGAAATGAGATTAGTTATGAGTGGACACATCTTGGTGGTTCTTTTGAGTATGTAAAAATGTGCTTTGTTTACATTAACTCGCTGCTTATCAGCAATGCAGAGAAATGGAATTTTAGGGTGGATTCGAATGCAGAGAGGGGTTGTGATTTGGTGAATAACCAATGAGATGACCAAACCCAAACAAGTACAGCAAGCTTCTCCAGACTCTTCCCACCTTCCAGCTGAACCTGGAGGAAATACCTCCAGGAGGAAAAGGTATTTCAGTTTCCATGTTCTTTCAGTCCTTAGCCTCTCTGCTGAAACTCCAAACAGTGGTGTCAGATGTGATGTAGACAACCACCTACTAGGAATTCAATTGAAAGCACCACCTTGTTTCAGTCAAAACAGAAAACAAACCTCTTGAACCATCATGACCAGTGTGTTACTTAAATGGAATAACCACATGTACATAACCTGTGCCCCTTTCTCACCTTCCCCTTCCTTTTTGCCTGCATGCAGTGTTATTTTAGTCATGTCAATCCCAGGATATTAGAGAGTCAAGGTGGGTAAGGTAATATCTGTTACTGGACCAACTTCTGTTGATGAGAGAGAAACTTTCAAGCTTACACAGTGTTCTTCTTCAGATCTGGGAAACTAACTCAGGGCAGGTCTACACGGTGCAGCTGTACCACTGTAGCACTTAAGTGAAGTCTCTCCTGTTGGCATAATTAATCCACCTCCCTAAGAGGCAGCAGCTATGTCGATAGTAGAAGCTCTCCTTTCGTCACAGCACTGTCTACGCAGAGGGGTAGGCGGTTAGGTCAGTATAATTACATCACTCAGGGGTATAGCTTTTTCACGCTCTAAGCGACATAATTATACCCATATAAGTCTGTAATGTAGACCTGGCCACAGAATGTCACAGCTGAAAAAAAGGTGGAACAAATTGTTTACCACCTGTAGTTAGCACATATTTCAAGGGACCATTCATGGTGAAGTGGCCCATTAACACCTCTCCAGTTGGGGAGGGGGCTGTTTATGGCTTATTACAACAATCTATAATCCACTAACAACTCCCCTGAGCTGCTTTACCTTCCCCCCTCCCCATTTCTTTTCTCCCTCTGACTGGAGGGGTGTTAATGGGCCACTTTAACCACCTTGTTTTTCTTTTTGCTGGTTATGTCTTCCATTTGGATTCGAAGGTGTTGGGGGCAAGGATCTGTCCTTTTGAAGTTTTTCTGTGAAGCAACTAGCACACTTGTGTGTGTCATAAAATAATAAATATCAATAACTTCATGCAGACCATAATGCAGCCACCAAATAGTGCATCTTTTGGTTATTTCTGGGCTTGGAAGGAATCCATCTGGCAATCTACATTAAAATGTCCTATAACACTTTACCTGATGCCCTCCATCCACTCCTCCCTGTCCTACCTCACTCTTACATCGACTCCATAGTTTCCACACACAACTCTATCTTTTCATCCATTCTCAGGTATTGTTGCACTTCTCTCAAACAGCCGTATTTATCCCACACATGCCCAGGCTTGGCTCACTCCTTGCATCTTCTTTGTCTGCTGCTGCTTGTGTGCCCTGAATGACTCTTGAGAAAATCCAGAAACTAGTTCTGCATGATTCCTCCACACAAGTGCATTCTCTGCTTTCAACGCCCTCCTCAACCTGCAATATCTGACTCACTTCTTCTTCCAAAAAAAAATCAATGTGAGCTGGTGTAAAACAATCCCCCTCTCTCTGCCCCATTTCCCACAGCCTGCCATTTTCTCCTCCTTTAGCATGATCTCTGGTTCTAAAGTGTCCAACCTCCTCTCATTTGCATGTCCTTCAATCCAGTTCTGTCTCCTGATCTTCTCAACTCCTCCCTTTTCATCACCCTTCATCTCATTCTCTCAAAAAGCCTGTATTAACCCCACTTGCTTATCCAGGTATCACCCCATCTTCCTCTTCTTCTTTTTTTAAATTTCTTGGGCACTTCATCAATAACTCAACTCCATTCTTACCCTTCTTGGTCTGTCAGCTGCCTTTGACATTTTGATCACTTCACTATACTGAAAACTCTCCTCCCCAAGCTCACTATTTTCTCATCTCTTCTGGTTCTATTCCTACCTCCCTAACCAATTCTTCTGCATATCCTCTTGTAGCTCCTCCTCCTCTTCGACTCTCCAGATGTCTGTTGTTGTTCCCCCTGGAGCCTGTCCTTGGCCCCACTCTTCTCTCTCTCTCTATATCCTCTCCTTGGGCAAACCTCACTCTGCTAGATTTAAATACTATCTATAATGACGCCCAGATCTATATCTCTATCTCAGCTGGGATAGTAAGTTCTCTCATTACTGTCTATAAATACACACACACACTCAGTCGCTTGCTTTCCCAAAACATACACCGGGAGGGTATCATAAGGAATAATTAGTTAATGGTTGTAACTCTTTGAAAAAGTAAAGTGTTAAGTAGAGTTATTTTGTGACACCCAAAGAAAGATCATCAGTTTATCCTGATCGGTATAAAGCATCTTGGAGTTTTAAAATTGTTTTTTTATCTTTTAAACATATTTCTTCAAACAGTAGCAAAAATGCAAAAAAAACCAAAAAACTATCCCCACAGCAATGATAGAAGAGCTTCTGATCTTGCTCTTGCTCTTGAAGCAACATCTTTTTAAAGAAGATTTTAAAGTGCTGAGCTAATCAAGCACTCAGCCAATCAAGCAATCAAGCTGCCTTGACCATGCCTACCTGCTTTAAAATAGCATGTAATGTTCATATAGCACCACTGAATGACCTATGCCTGATACTAAAAAAGCAATTGTAAACAGCTTGTTAAAGGTGCACACACTGATATGTTCCTATATTATCTTCTCTGTTTATTGTTTATCAAACTATCTTGATCTTAAAAAGAGATAAGTGGAGTGTAACTATACTATTCACTATTTACAGGTACTGCACAAGTGTGTTACTTGCGGCTGTCCTTTAATGTTTTCATTTGGAATAGAATGCAAACATGTGTCATTTCACATTAGGCTAAATCATGATCTCTGTGTGTATATAATATCTGCTGCAGTTTCCACGGTGTGCATCCGATGAAGTGAGCTGTAGCTCACGAAAGCTCATGCTCAAATAAATTGGTTAGTCTCTAAGGTGCCACAAGTACTCCTTTTCTTTTTGCGAATACAGACTAACACGGCTGTTACTCTGAAACCTGTCATTGTATTGTATGATAGCTGAACTAACCTGCTGAAATACAAAGCCTGTACTTCTTTACAATGAAAGCATAAGAAATAACATGTCTTGCTATTCAGTATTCTTCTTGTTATAATTAATTAATTGTGTAATAATTTCCATAAAAATGAGCAGTTATATTCTTATTCTTACAGTCCTCCTTAGATTTATCATAAATATAGTTTTGTCCAAGTTTTGTACATTGCAGTTTCAGAAGGGAGTTGAGAATTTGTTCAGGGGGTTGAATTACTTTCTTTTTAATATAATAATGTACTGTGGAGTGTGTGCAAGGATGACATATATTGATTATATTTTATTATTCAGTTCTAATATTAGGCCATCTACATGCAT